TTTTTTGCAGAAAATGACCTGAATATTTTGTATCACAGAACTATTAATTACACAGGATATCCGAGAACTCATAAAATTAATGGTACAAGTTTCTACGACACTTTTTCGAAAACTAAGTTATATAACCTCAATGTTATTTGTTTAAATTAATATTTTGACCTAATATTTTTTGGTATGATTTTTTTATTGTACTGTTAAAAAATCGCACATACGAAAGATATTAATTAAATAATTCTGAAGTCATAAACAGCTCAATAAATGACAATTACTTTTTTTAATTAAACATGTTAATATTAAGGATCATTTAAAAAAATCTCTCAGAAGAGCCTTCTTAATTAACCTTTGCGAGAAAGGACTAATTTGATGTTTTGGAGCACTCAAACAGTTCAAATTTATTATCTGTAATTATTTATTTGCGAAATTTTTTATTTAATTGGGTATTACTGTGACAGTGAAATATATGCCCAAGTATTTCCAGTATAAACAAAGCAGGACAAACATTTAAAAAATATGTTTAATTCAATAATTCTAAACATCAAAATCTGCTAAATCTTTATTAATTACGTTGATTAATTTGTGAAAATGCTAATTATAATTAACTGGAATTTGTACATAAAACATGGTATCAAAATATTTTCGCAAAACAACGGTTTTTTTAGAATCTACTTTGTACCAGGGAACTTTCTTCAAAGATTCGTTGGCGAGCCTCAATATTAATTTCTTAAATATTTTGTAGAATTGTATATGCCATACAAATTATGATACATTTTCTAGTCAATAAGGACATTTAGAGCCTTAGCTTTTGATGAATTCCGAAAGTATATACATAATTTGATACGAATAATAAGAGTACCAAATTTAAAAAATATCGCTTAATCGAAAAAACTTTTGACAAAATATTCATTACAAAAAATATTATAACTTTAAGTCTCGAAAATGTGCCATATCATATTTTTATGAGTTGAATTACCACCTAATTTTTTTATATTGGCATTTTATCGGCGACAGAATTTTTATCATAAATTTTTCATGGTGGCGTTGGTTCTATTATTTAGATAATACTTAGTTATACATATTTTAGAACGTACTTCCAAATTTATGAAATTTAACTTAACTGAACTTAATCATGAAAATGTTTATCTTGTTCATTATTAAAACAATTTCTTCAAACTTATAACATTGTTTTTTCGTCTTTATATTTCAAATTGATGTTAAATTGTTTTTGTGATTTCATATTCTCATTCCGCGGACATTTTACATATGACTATATTTTTTCTCATGGAAATTTGCCTATTCAGTTAGTCGCTAGATTAATGAATGAATCAATCTTTAGTATAAATTATGAATAATTAGTTAGTCTTAGTATATATGACTATTGACTAATCAATTAATATATCAGCCACGACCAAACCATGAATGACTAGATAAAAAATCCCATTCACGAACGCAAAAATCGCTAAATAGGAAGAGAAATGCAACTGGATAAAAAAGCGAATAAATTAGGTTACCATAACAATGCTGTTATTTTATTTATTAAATGTAGCGTCAGTTAAAAACTGTTAAAATGTCATAATTGTTATTTATAAGTCAAAATCAAAAATTTATCGGCATGTCTAGATTTTGCAATACGGGTGGAGAAGAAAGGGAAAATGAATTCGAAAATTGTATCCCTAAAAATACGAAAACATCATCAATTTGGAACCAATTTAAAATATTTTGTAAAGAAAGAAATGTTGATTTGGACACACAGCAATGTATTGAGGATGTGACAAGGATACTAATGGATTGGGGTTTCAACATGAAAAAGAAAAATGGAGAAAATTAAAAACAGTACGTTTTGAAAACAATGTGGCAAAAATGCTGCAAAATAATATGTATTTATTTATTGAATGCTATTTTCAACCCACTCACCAATTCTGTTTCCAAGAAAGTCCGTGATGCCCGCAATTCTAGACGAAAGAAGTTGCAAAGTAATTTCGAAAAATGCAAAGAGAGTTCCGTTGCACTATCGCAGAGTGAGATTATTAAAATGGCGCTAATAGTCCAATCAATCTGTTGGCCTAATGTTAAATTTACAAAAAATACCACCTGGAAACAAAAAATATGGTGATATAGGAAAAAAAGATAGTGTATTTTTCCTGTGGCACATAAACGGCGAAGATAACCTAAAAAATTCATAAAAGTAAAAAAACGGTTTTTCGCTAATAAAAAAACTTGATCTACAATCGAAAAAAGTTAAATGAGAAAGTTGTAGCTATTAAAAAAATCTATTGAATCGTATTTTTAAATATATCGATTGTTATATTACTTTTCGAGATATACCCAAAAAACCGTAGAAAATCGACTTTATTTGTTTTTGCTGTATCTCTTGCAAATGAAGGTTTTGAAACTTGTTACTTGCTGCCAATGTATCCCTCGGCAAGCAAAAAAGTACCTTTTTTAAAATTAGAAAATATTAAAAATTTTTCGAGTTATATGGATTTTTCGAAAAAAAGGTCATCTCGAAAATCGGCTCTTCTTGCACGACGAATAGTCGTAGAGAAACGAATCAGGGCTCATTTTTTCCTTAAGAGTTGTATTTTCTTGGTAAAAAAGAGTGATAAATATTTTATTTATTTCAAAAATGACTGAAAAAAGTAAAAATTTTTTGGTCGCGTTTTTTTTGAATATCTTCTTCGATTTACATTTCTCGATAATGTCTATTACAAGAATCGATTGCTGGAATTTTTACGCGAATTAAAAAAAAAATGTTGCTCTGCAACCTTCTGGAGCCGAGATATTTTTTTTCAAATAATTCAACAGGCCGCTATTTAGGTGTTACAGCGTCCATTCTTACAGAGATTGAAGTTGAATACTTATTTTTAATAAAAAAATACTGTGGTTCATTTTAGCCACTTCTGCATTTTTAATTGTGTGTCAAACCGAGGCATTCGAGCGCGGCGCGAGCTAACTGTAGTGGGCGGCGGAGTGGGGGTAACGCTACTCGGCCGCTGCGAAAACTGAATTCGCGCATTCAAAATTTTCATTATCTCGACTTCTGGACCACGTACAAAAAGAGAAGAAGAATTGAAACAAAAGTGTGATATACATAATAAATAAAATTGTAATGGACTAATATTTTTATACCACGTAATTTTCTGTACGATAATTAAATAAATATTTTGTAATACTTTTATAATAAAAAGATATAATTACCATAAAACGTCGTACTTACTTTATTTCATAAACAATTATTGAAATGTTAACAAGAGGTGACTAAATTTTAGACTAAAGGACAATTACATTTTTCAAAGTTAATTATTATTAATTTTGTTTAACTCGTCGAGCTACCCCAGATTAACTACAAAAGGATTTTTGTACGGAAGTCGAAATGAAGATTTTGAAAGTAAGAGCGCTTTTGAACGTGCAAATTCAGTTTTCCTAGCGGCCGAGTAGTGTTACCCCCACTCCGCTGCCCCCTACAGTTAGCTCGCGCCGCGCTCGAATGCGTCGGTTTGACGTACAATTAAAAATGCAGAAGTGGTTAAAATGAACCACAGTATTTTTTTATTGAAAATATAAGTCTTCAACTTCAATCTCTGTAAGAATGGACGTTGTAGCACTTAAATAGCGGCCTGTTGAATTTTTTGAAAAATAAAAATATCTCGGCTACAGAAGGTCGTAAAGCAACGTTTTTTTTTAATTTGCGTAAAAATGCCAGCAATCGATTTCTGTAATAGACATTATTGTCAAATGAAAATCGAAAGAGATATTCAAGAAACACGCGACCAAACAATTTTTACTGTCTTCAAAGTCATTTTTGGACACTTGACATGAATAAAATCGTGTAACTCTTTGTTACTATGAAAGTACAACTCTTAAGGGAAAAAATGAGTCCTGATTCGTTTCTCTACGACTATTCGTCGAGCAAGAAGAGCCGATTTTCGAGATGACCTTTTTTTCGAAACATCGACATAACTCGAAAATTTTTTTATATTTTTTAATTTTAAAAAAGGCCCTTTTTTTGTTTGATAAGGGCTACATTAAAAAAGTCGATTTTTGACGGTTTCTTCGATATATCTCGAAAAGTAATATAGCGATGGATGTATTTAAAAATACGAATCGATAGGTTTTTTAATAGCTACAATTTTCTTCTTTAACTTTTTTCGATTGGAGTTCAAGTTTTATTTTCATTAGCGAAAAACCGTTTTTTTGACTTTTATGAATTTTTTAGGTTAACTTCGCCGTTTAAGCGCCACAAGAAAAATCACACTATCTTTCTTAGATTTTTTTTTTCTTATATCAACATACTTTTTTTATTCCAGGTGGTATTTTTGGTAAGCTCTTTTACCTATTGATTGGACTATAATATGCGATGAAAATGCACCTACAGGCCTTTTGAAAAAAAAATGGTTATTTATTTGTATCGTAATCAGAAGATGCTTATCAATATGTTTGAATTGTGTGCTCACTTAGCTGACGAGCGTTTTCTGCCTCAAGTTCCTTACAAAAAAAAAAAGAGAAACGAGTCCATTGTCCTAAACCTGAACAAGAAAGACCTGTAGATACAGCGCACCGGGTAAAATTGTCCTTGCGTCTACGTCGCCTGCCCTCGTAATGGACAAACAATATTCCTGGAACGCGGAAAGTTCGCGCTGTAAATCTCCGGCCCCCCACACTTGCGTTAACACCCTGCAGCGGCCCTTTCGCCGCCGCCGCCGGTAAATAACTTAAGCACACATTAGGAGTGCGCCGCCGTCCTCTATATATCACCGGCGAGTCCGGCCGACTACAACTTAAACACAACCGGGGAATTATGGGATAATTCGTTAGGCAAATGTCTGCTTAGGTCCTTGCAGGACGCGCCCGACGCAGGTGGCCCTGTGCGGCGGTTCCGCTGGATTTGAAGTGTTGATTTAATTACTATCTGCATGGTTTAAGAGGCCTACGTTCAGCGATTCGCCCGTAGAAGAATGTACCCGTAAAACTGACTAGTAAAACGATAAAGTATAAATACTCACTTTTTCTTAAAGTTTGCTCCACACGTCGAGCACAGGAACGGTCGTTCACCGGAAGCCTCCTTCACCACTTTAGTCGCGTCTTTCTTGGCATGATTCTTCACGTGAAACTGCAAATTGTTTTTCCTGGCGAATTTGGCGTTGCAAATTTTACAGACGAAGGGCCTCTCCTGGGTGTGCATTCTAATGTGGGCATGAAGGGAAGACTTTGGGAAAATCTTACTGCACATCGGACACTTATATCTGTAAGTGGGCTTTGATTTGGAATTTCCTTCGCCTTTATCTGAAGGATACGTCAAGAGTGGTTCGTCGTGTAGAGCTAAATGGAAGACCAATTCTGACGTTGAGTTGGATGAAAAGGGACATTTTTCGCAACGAAAACTGTTTTCTGGGTTCTCTTCGAATTTGCATGATTTTGACCGAAGGTGGCTGGTCAGTTCTTGAGTTATTGTGAAGTTAGTACCACAGTGTGGACATCTAAAATAATATAATCATTAGCATTGTCGACAATACCTTTCAAAATCAGAAAGCGTACCTAATTTTGTGTTCTGGGTGTTTTTCCTTCAAATGTTCCTTGAGCAAGAGGAAATTGGCGAAAGTCTCCTGGCAGTATTCACATTTTCTCTTCATGCTTTTTTTATCCTGTTCATATTTGCCTAAAACGGAGTATTTGTGTTGTAAAGATTTCCTGTGTAGTTTGGCATCTTTAGCGTTGTCAAATTTTAAGTTGCAAGGGCTGCAAACAAAGTATTTATCTTTGTGAACGTTTTGACGATGACGTTGCAAGGCAATATTCGATAGGAAGCCTTCTCCACATGGTTCACAGATAAATTCATTTTTGAATGTCTTAGCGACAGAATCGTCATGATTGAATCTTTTGCAATGATTTAAAAGCTGCACATTGAGCATAAATTCCTTATTGCAGGTTGGGCAATAGACGGGATTGATTTTCTTTATGACGATTGGTACTGAACGGTTGATGACTGAAATCACTTCATTATGTTCTGATGACGCTATGTGCGTGTACATCAATTGTGTATCTTCCGATCTAAACTTGCAGAGGCTACAGAAGTAATAACCTGGTGCCTTTTTGTCTACATGGTCTCTCGACAGCCAATGCCGCAAGAAATCATCATGGGTGTTGCAATAAAATTTACAAATACTGCATTGGAAGGGACACTCTAGAACTATACTGAAGATGTTTTCAAGTACCATTGACCTAGCCACCGGTGTAGTTATATCTCCCTTTCTGCAGTGGTAGTGAGATATTAAATGCTTCCCGATAAGGTACTTACTGACTTTTGAATGACAAACATCGCATCTTATAAATATCTTCTTACGATTCCTCTTTTTGGTCATACTTGTCACGCTCTTCTCTTGATTACTGAAGATAGATTCAGGTGGCTTTATTTTAGCTCGTCTGACTTCCTTTAGTATATTTAAATCATCATTGTCGTCAAATTCTCTGTCGTGTAAAGTTCTTTTAAAGTGAAGCTCGGATTTCAGATGTCTTTCGTAGACAATTTTCGAAGCTAGTTTTCTATTACAAGGGCTACACCAATACTGCATTGTTCGTCCGGATTTCTTCAGTGAAGATTCACCAGAAAGTTTTAGTATGCTTCTATTTTGAATCGGAGGAATCCATTTACTTTTAGTGTAATTTTCGTTTAATTTACTTTGCGCCTCGCATTTTTGTTTACTTTTTATATCTGTATTATTATCAGTCTCTTTCGTACTGTCTTTGTCAAACACAGGTTCGGTAGCTTCGATTTGTTTTGAAGTACTAGGTTGAGCTAAATCTATTTCATTGTCATGTTTAGGTTTCCATTTGCCTTTGGTGTGAGTTGAAGGAGGAAATTCGTCTTCATTATCAGCTTTTGGTTTCCATTTACCTTTCGTATAACTTGGAGATGGAACGTCATCTTCAGGGTCATTTTTTGGTTTCCATTTACCCTTAGTATGACTAGGAGGTGGAAAATCTTCTTCATTATCATTCTTAGGCTTCCACTTTCCTTTTGTATAACTTGGAGATGGGACGTCGTCTTCATTGTCATTTTTCGGTTTCCATTTGCCTTTGGTATGACTAGGGGGTGGAAAGTCTTCTTCGTTATCGTTCTTAGGCTTCCACTTTCCTTTTGTGTGACTTGGTGGTGGAAATTCGTCATCTAGGTCACCTTTAGGTTTCCATTTTCCTGAAAGATACATATAATTAACCCTCAATATAAATGATGATAAATCATTTTAAACCTTTAGTATGAGTTGGAGGAGGGTTTTCGTCGTCCAATTGACATTTGGGTTTCCATTTACCTTTGGTGTGATTAGGAGGAGGGAAATCGTCGTCGTTGTCGGGTCTAGGTTTCCACTTTCCTTTAGTATGTGTGGGAGGCGGAACGTCTTGGTCGTCTTGCTTCTTTGATGATACCCATTTGCTGCCAGTGAAGGTAGGAGGTGGTACATCATCATATTCCTTGAAAGAAGGCTTCCATTTGCCTTTTGTATGAGTAGCTGGAGGGGAAGAACCCCTTTTGGCGGATGGTTTCCATTTTCCACCGGTGTAAGTGGGAGGGGGTACGTTCCAGTCCCTAGAGTCTGAGTTCCTAGACCACTGAATTGGTGATGAAGGCTTCCATTTACCACCTAGGTGATATAAATATTTCTAAATTAAATAAGCAACTTGTAATAAAATATTCTGACCTGTATAATGTCTCGGTGGAACGTCTTGGTCTTCGTCGCTAGAATCTTCAACGTCATAGTCGTATTCATCCGTATCCTCATCACTTTCTTCATACACTTCTAGTCTAGCTGGTTCCTCTTTTCTTCTCTCTAAATTATCCACAGCTTTGATTAACTTTGACTGATTGTCGCCGTATCCAAGTTCTTTGAGTTGGTGACCACCGATCCAAACATTCTTCCCAGACTTCGACTGCTGGATATCACTTGTATCCTTATTTATTCCCGAGGTGGCTTGAAGAACAGCTGTAGTCTTACTTCGAGTCAAAATACCACTGAAGTTCTTTCCAGAAGTAGACTGGGCTGAGGTCTTTTTCGAACTGCTGCGCAATTCTAAGGAAAAGAAGAAGTCATCTGCTTTCAGTCCAAATGACTCATCAGGAGGCAGCAGTTGACTTGGTAGTGGAGACTTAGGGGCATCGCCTAGGTTTTTGGAACAACCAGCTTTTCTGTGACTGACGTAGTTGTCTAAGCCTAAGATTGTGGTGTGACATTTCAGGCAGAAGTGGGTGTCGTCGTCGTAGTCGCCAATCATTTCTACGTATAACAGAATATATTAATGAATCAATTAAATATAATTAATAAATTCATAAGGAGTGAAATATATTTTTTATTTGACATTTAAAGCGTCGTAATTTTAATATGAACCATATATAGTTTTATATTATTTGATAATATCTAGTTATCAACATATTCAAATTTTAATAATATATCATTAATTGGGATTTTCGGGGTTACTGCCTAAGGACAGTGCCCTGCGGCAGAACTGCATCGGATTGCAAATTATGACCGAATCGAGAGTGCTTCCAACTATTAAATAACGTCAACAGACATATATCCGCTTTCAACGGTTTTATCGCCAAGGCAAAAGATTAAACAATTAATTTTATTTTATTGGCAGGTAAAATATATACGCAGATATATTTCGCTTCAAGTCCGTAACAAACAAACCTATAATTAATTAAAATGTTATCGCAAATTAAATTGCTTAATTAACAGCATAAATCACAGAAGGCTTTTTGCTGCCATTAAAAATATAATAATTTTCCTAATTCCGCGTTTGCAAGGATCATCTTTAAGCGATATTTTACCATTCGACAATAAATTATACCGTAGCCCTGTTCCCGGCCTTGACGTGGCGTTTTTTTTTTCAAAAAGTATATAGGAAATTTTATGACAAAAGCAATTAATTATATTACAAGTTTATATTTTAATAATCTACTAATGAAGATATCTTGTCTTATCTGCATTTATTTATTATTTTCTACATACAGTGGAACCAGAAAACCTGTCATACGTGAGAACGGAAAAAATTTTAATGAACAAATGTAGGTATCTCTTCTGACCATATCTTAGACTGATGCGTGTGCGTTTTATAGTATGAAAATGTAATATAAAAGATGGGGAAAGATTTGAAAATTAAATAATATTATTGGGACATCAAATTGCCACGACCTTGAGGAAGGTGTCACTAGCGTCTCGTCCAAATGTTTATTGACAGAGCTCAAAATAATTATTCCAAAAAATCATTGTTTTGTTATAACAATCTTATATAAATGAAAAGAATGTAAACTTTTAGGACGATGGTAAATCCCTCAAAATTTTTCTTTGCTACGTTTTTTAATATTGCTGATGATTACTTCAGAAAAATTCTCCGAGCCCTTATTTTTTTCATTTAAAGATATCTCGAATCGAGGACCACGAGACGTGTTTATTTTTATTACCCACTCGTTCCTAATAGCGATATAGTAACGTTTGCGATAAAACTGATGCCGGGGCCTCGCAGTGGCCGCCCTCCTCGAGAGATAAACGGGGTGAAATATTGCAAATCCGGAGACAAGTGAGTGAGTGAACCGTGGCAAGCAGACCACACCGGGGCTGTCGTCCGAATAACTGCTTCCTCATCGATCCGCCACCTCTACAACCCTTCACTGCACACCGCAGCGCCACTTAATTATTATTTATAAGCCGGCACGTTGTAAATACCCTGAACAATTGCGATTTTCCTAGAAGCGTTTAGTAATCTCCTGTCATTTGTTACATTTATTAAATAGTTATTTATTATAACTATTAGAATTTTATTTTTATCGTAAATTATATTTTTTATTTTGCACTACGTTGGGCGCCAAAATTACTTTTCTTACTAACTTTTGTGTTTTTGACGAAATCTGCCTTTTGTTTCTGTTTAATGTGCCTTAATTTTTAATAAAATAAACTTTTATTTTATTTATTTTTTAATTGCAAGTGTTATTTTAATTTATTAAATACATTTGCATATGGTTTGTCATTAGTTTAAACGTTTTGTGTTTTAATTTTGTGAATTTGATTTCTGGCTTGTCGTTTCACGTTTTCTCAATTTTTTATTACAATTTTCTTTTTCTGTACATACGTATCTGTTTTCATTAACATAAACTTAAACTGAATTTTTATTATACAGGGTGGCCAAATGAAAACAAAACAGAGCCATTTTCAGGAACTGCGTCAAGATTGTAGAAAAACGCTCAGACCCGTCGATTTTAGATTAAAGGGGGGGACATTCTTTGCTGGTATTTTTGACTCCGTCACTTTCACCCCCAAGCAAGGGTAAGCATTACCCCAAAATATTTAAATGGCATTGAGTAATATTTCTTTTGAAAGCTCTTACAATTCTCTTTACAACAGACTAAATTTTATAATTCCGCCCAATAGGTATTTAAGAATTTTGCTTTTAAAGTTGAAACTTATGTACAAACAATTAGTAACGGTAAAAATGTCGGTCATTCGAGTTAAGTACGCCAATGGTATAAATTTAGTACTTCTTGCGTTACATTGGTTTTTGGCGATTTGTTATCACTTTCGTAAAAAACACACAGATGTAAAAAACAGAAATGATTGCACACAATGAACGTAAAATTAGTGGATTCCAAATTATTTTCTAGTATTATTTGGAAGCGTTGGTTGGTAGTTTATTTAATTGTGTTTTTGAAAATTAAACACTATGGTTTATTCCATTGCGGAAAGGGTAGATATCATTTCGCTTTACAATAAATGTGCGAATAGTACAGCTCAGCTATTTAATGAATAACATCAAGATTGACATGTCAGGAGGAAGTATGTTCTAGAGTTAGTAAAAAAATTTCAAGAGACAGGGAACGTAGCCAATAAAAAACGAGAAATTGAAAAACCTGCACTTTGGGAAAAAGTTCATCTTGATCCTACATTAAGTACGAGGCAGCTGGCATCTGTGTCTGGGATAAATCAAACTAGAATACAAACCATTTTAAAGAAGAATAAATTCCATCCATACAAAATACATTTAGTCCAGGAACTTTATGAGGATGATTATGACCGCCGGTGCGAAATAATGAGTGAGCGAGCAGGGAACGATCCACAGTTCCTTTTTAACATCTGATGAATGCAGTTTTTTCTTGAACGGGACGTTAAATTGTCACAATTGCCGCTATTGGTCCAATTCAAACCCAAGAGTTTTTCACGAGGGGCACAGCAACCGGAAAAATTAAATGTATGGGCTGGAATTTTCGGTGACCGGCTGGCGGGTTCTGCTTTTCTACCTAATTTGACTGGCCAAATGTATTTGCAATTACTGGAAGACGCTATTGACCCTGCCTTGACTGATATTATTGAAAATGTTCCAGAGTATGATGAAGATCATTTGATTTTTCAATAGGACGGTGCTACTCCGCATTATGCGTTAATTGTCGGTCAGTATTTGGACTAACGTTTTCTACGGAATTGAATTGGGAGAAGAGGCAGCACTGAGTGGCCTCCACGATCATCAGATTTATCGCCCCTTGATTTCTTTGTGTAGGGATACCTAAAAAGTAAAATACAGCCAGCGTCGCTGGAAGATTTGCGTCAAAGAATCGTCGACGAATGCCGTCGAATCACTCCGGAAATGCTTCGGAATGTGCGCGAACGTTTCGAACAAAATCTTTATTCTTGTATGGAAGCGGGCGGTCATCAGTTTGAACATTTAATCAACTAAGTAGTAAGTAAGCAACTAAACATAATTTAATTTTAAAATGTAACATTTTACACAGGCAATATTAGAAATGAAAAGGCTCATGTTTCTATTGGTTTAAATTTTGAATAATAAAAGTAGTTAGTAGATAGTAGAAGTAGACAACAAATTTTACTATGAGTATAATGACACATTGACAATCTGTGGGGGCTGATATGTTGCAATGATTTAATGTTCGAGTTTTTCCTTAAATTAATAAGATATTTTTACACGATTAGTAAACCAGATGTTTAGAACACCCTGTGTACTAAAACAAGCTGCCTATGTTTGCAAACAACAATGACCGTATAAACGAAAACTCGCCTTCTCAAGTCCGTGGGAAGTCGTCTCATTGACAACTCGACAAGTCCGATACAGTCCATCGAGTAATACATGTCTGCAGATCAACTTTTAGGTTAAGCAATTCTTTCCGTATTTGCATAAAATGTCGCTCGTAACCGCCTCTGCCGCGAAAATCATAGCAGCCCAACACAAACTTGGCGGCGGCGGCGACCGAATAACAGCCTCTCGCTTGAACTTGTTATGGTGTTTTGGTATCCCTATATCGTTTAGTTTAATTCTTCAACTTTACGCAATGCAGACAAAAGAGTTGTTTGAGACAAAAAATAATACTGGGATCGGGATGAACTTGATTTACATAAATTTGTATAAGGAAAGGCTTATAAGTTTTAATATTATACAGGATTATTGTATGGAAAAGAGGTATCGATTTTCAAATCTCCTTGAAAAATTGGTAAAATAAGCCTTATAAAATAAAGACAATTCTATGTAGTAAAATTTCTATTAAAACAATTGACAATCGACAGAGATTTCTTTATATTTTGACACCTACGTAAAAAGTTGGTAAAGTTTGTACATACTTTTAAAGGGTAAATAATGCCATTAAATATGAAAGAGGATATCGGACAAATGTCCTCTCCAACTCATTCGGCATACTCAACTTCTTTTAAGAAAATTCTGTACCACGCTTTCGCATACCTGCGGTTGAATTTCGTTGATAACTTTCCGAATTTTTGCCATTAATTTAGGAATGGTTTTCGTTTGAGCAGAATAAACTTTGGACTTTACGAATTCCCACAGGAAAAAGTCACATGGCGTAAGATCGCATGATGGCCAAGTCACTTCACTGTTACGTGAGATGAATCGTCCATTATATTTCTTCCGTAACCAGTGGATAGTTTCACGTGCCGTATGGCAAGTGGAACCATCTTGCTGGAACCATATGTCACGCAAATTCATGCCATTCAAATGAGGCCACAAAAAGTTTAACAGCATATCTCGATATCGTACTCTATTGACAGTTACTGCGTTTTTAGACTCATTTTCAAAAAAGAACGTATCAATCAGTCTACGAGTGTAAAATTCACACAGTCACTATTTTGGTGTGCAGTGGTCGTTCTTGGATTGTCTCTGCCTCAAATTCGACAGTTTTGATTGTTCACATACCCACTAAGATGGAAACGCGCTTCGTCGCTAAAGATGATTTCCTTAGCCAGAGTCAATGATTCTCCAACAT